CACAATAAAAAATAAAATAAAACACAAGGAAAGAATAAGACATAATAAAATTAAAAATTTATATAAAAATTTACAAGTTTTCTTCGAAAACTTTTTTCCTTATCCAAACTTTTTACATGTATGCCACACCTCACACTTAAACTTAAGCATTCAACTATCCATCTGCAAGAAGGTGACAGGGATGGGACAGTAAACAGGGGGCATGGGTGAGCGTAGAGCACAGTAAGCATAGAGTACAGGGAGCATGGGTGAACATAGGGCAGAATAAGCATACAGTACAGGGAGCATGGATGAGCGTAGGGCACAGGCTACAGAAAGCATGGGTGAGCATAGAACACAGGGAGATTATGAGTAAGGGGGACAGGAGTGACTGGGCACGTAGACCATCAGTGGCGATGAAGGGAAGAGAGATACAGAAAAAAAATAGTTTAGTACTTGAAATGAACAATTGAATTCAACTTTCAAGTTTGACACTACTCGCTTTTTATTGAATCAGTTTTTCTTAGAATATGAAATCCTCACTCTTCACAGGGGCCTCTAGTTTTCAATATAGTTTCAAAAAGTGGGTGTTGTGGTAACCAAATACTGATGATTTCAAAGTTTTCAATAGATCTAATAGAATCTACAAGTACTTTGTCTTCGTTTCTTCAAAGATAATTTTCGCGTCGCGTCTCTCACTTCTAAAGATGCTCTGTCGTTAATCTTTTCTCAAATTCTTTTATCGATTAGTAAATAACGTCAAAATTAAAATTTACTAATACCTAAGATAACTAAACTTGCAATAGCCAAATGTTGTACTGAACGAAATTTTTGTCCATTAAGCATAACATCAACGATTTCTGAACATTTTCGTTCTCCTGTTGCTCCATTTTTTACACAATATTCCCATAAACTAGCCGTAGAAACTTCGCCAGTTGTTGAACTAACATATTTTAACCATATTGGTGATATAACACTAATAAATGCTGTGATAACCGCGAATGTACCTGCAGCCATCATTGAAACACTGACTAAACGATTTATTTCCTTTTTTTCAAAACTATATCCAACTGTAATTCCATAAAGAACAGCACATAGACCAGTTAAAAAAGCTGCACATACCATAAAGATGAAAGAATAACCAATTGAAATTGATAAATGAAAATGACTATCAATTTGCCTGGATAGAAATAGTTTTAAATAATCTAATATCCCGACTATTGTAAATAATGATGCTATTAAATATAATAATACAACTGCAGCCTTTATTTTCCAATTTTTTAATCTGATATCATTAGATAAATTTGAAAAAATTCCAATGGCAATTGCAAGTAGATTTATTACTAATGCACCAAGTACACAAAGTGCTTGAGCTGCTCGAAAACGATTGTCTAATTTTGTTAAACTAACACATGATAATTCTGTCAAAACTTTGTATTGACACCATTTCCAAAGACCAGCCTGTGTAGATGTGACAATTAGGCCAC